TGCTTGAACCCTGGAGGTGGAGATTGCAGGGAGATGAGATCGCGCTACCGCAGTCCAGCCTGGTGCCTGATAACAGAGCAAGAGTCTATAAATAAATAAATAAATAAATAAAAATAAATAAAAATTCTTATAATCACAGGCCAGCTCACATAATAAATACGTCATAAACTATAAAACAGGCCGGGCGCGGTGGCTCAAGCCTGTAATCTCAGCAGTTTGGGAGGCCGAGGCGGGTGGATCACAAGGTCAAGAGATCGAGACCATCCTGGTCAACACGGTGAAACCCCATCTCTAGTAATAATACAAAAATTAGCTGGGCATGGTGGCGCACGCCTGTAGTCCCAGCTACTAGGGAGGCTGAGGCAGGAGAATTGCTTGAACCCAGGAGGCGGAGGTTGCGGTGAGCCAAGATCGCGCCATTGCACTCCAGCCTGGGTAACAAGAGCAAAACTCCGTCTAAAAAAAAAAAAAAAAAAAAAAAAACTATAAAACAAACAAAAAGATATGTAAGAAACAAAAAAAGTAGGAGTCTGGCATCAATACTAGGCAAGTAAATACAGAGAATTTGCATGGGAAGATTCAGAACTGTAAATCATGGATTTTGCAGTAATAAATTCAGTAAAAAGCAGAAAGTATATATTTGCTTTCAGCATTTTTAAAGATTTTTTAGTGTTTTTTTGGTTTTTTTTTTTGAGACGGAGTTTCGCTTTTGTTACCCAGGCTGGAGTGCAATGGCGCGATCTCGGCTCACCGCAACCTCTACCTCCTGGGTTCAAGCAATTCTCCTGCCTCAGCCTCCTGTGTAGCTGGGACTACAGGCACGCGCCACCATGCCCAGCTAATTTTTTGTATTTTTATTAGAGACGAGGTTTCCCCATGTTGACCAGGATGGTCTCGATCTCTTGACCTTGTGATCCACCCGCCTCGGCCTCCCAAAGTGCTGGGATTACAGGCTTGAGCCACCGCGCCCGGCGATTTTTTAGTTTTATAGTAGTCACCTTAAAATAATTTTTGTTCCCATATTGCTCTTTTCAAACTCAAAGTCACATAAACACACTCCATAATTTTCTTACACCGAAGGTTTGTCTTTAGACTAATACATATTTAACTTTATGTAAGTGAAAACTAAAAGTCTGTATGTTTTTGCAGGCAGACAGGCCACGTGTTCAAAGAAAAATATATAAGAAATATGGAAAAAATTAAGAATTTAAAAATCAATTATACTTGTCTAATTTTTATTATGACCATAAAAATAACCTTGTAGTAAATAAATAAAAATTGTACATGTAAAAATTGTTTTTAAGTGTAGAACTGGATTGTTTGTAAAACAAAGAATAAATGCTAGCGCTGAAGGATGCCTCACTTAATGCTGATATTATTATTACATATTCTATTCCTGTATTAAAATAAGCCATATATTGCATAAATATATACTCACATTATGTACTCACCAGAATTAAAATGTTTAAATGATTAAAAATAGAAAAAAAATTGGCCGGGCACGGTGGCTCAAGCCTGTAATCCCAGCACTTTGGGAGGCTGAGGCGGGTGGATCACGAGGTCGAGAGATCGAGACCATCCTGGTCAACATGGTGAAACCCCGTCTCTACTAAAAATACAAAACATTAGCTGGGCATGGTGGCGCGTGCCTGTAATCCCAGCTACTCAGGAGGCTGAGGCAGGAGAATTGCCTGAACCCAGGAGGCGGAGGTTGCGGTGAGCCGAGATCGTGCCATTGCACTCCAGCCTGGGTAACAAGAGTGAAACTCCGTCTCAAAAAAAAAAAAAAAAAAAAAAAATTAGAAAAAAAATTTAACCTGGCCGGGCGTGGTAGCTCAACTTATAATCCAAGCACTTTGGAGGCCAAGGCGGGCGGATCACATGAGGTTGGGAGTTCAAGACCAGCCTAGCCTGACCAACATGGTGAAATGCCATCCTTTTTTTTTTTTTTTTTTTTTTGAGACGGAGTGTCGCTCTTGTTATCCAGGCTGGAGTGCAATGGCATGATCTCGGCTCACCGCAACCTCCGCCTCCTGGATTCAGGCAATTCTCCTGCCTCAGCTTCCTGAGTAGCTGGGATTACAGGCACGCGCCACCATGCCCAGCTAATTTTTTGTATTTTTAGTAAAGACATGGTTTCACCATGTTGACCAGGATGGTCTCGATCTCTTGACCTTGTTATCCACCCACCTTGGCCTCCCAAAGTGCTGGGATTACAGGCGTGAGCCACCACGCCCGGCCTGAAATCCCATCTTAAAAAAAAATAAAAAAGAAAAAAATTTAACGTACAGAAATAATATTCTTTATCTTATTTGCAGTTGAAAGCCACTGGCAAAAAAAAAATTACCAGAGATGTTAATCCATTATGTATATTGTTACAATCTTTTACCTATGCCCTTGGATAAGGTGGAAGAGGTTAAAGTTTGTGGCATAATAACGCTTCACTGAATGCACAATAGTATTTAACATGTAAAAATGTTGAATTAATCCAGAATTTTTAATGTACCGCATTTCATTATATAAAAGTACAGTTAATATACTTATTTAATTTTAAATTAAACATGTTGTCTTCATATGACAATGCATAATATTACTCTGAAAATCTACATCATGCATCACTCAATATTATGTTAACCTTTAAGACCCTCTCCACTCAGATTTTCAATGTGCATTTTACATTTTTTTTTTTTTTTGAGACGGAGTTTCGCTCTTGTTACCCAGGCTGGAGTGCAATGGCGCGATCTCGGCTCACCGCAACCTCCGCCTCCTGGGTTCAGGCAATTCTCCTGCCTCAGCCTCCTGAGTAGCTGGGATTACAGGCACGCGCCACCATGCCCAGCTAATTTTTGTATTTTTAGTAGAGACAGGGTTTCACCATGTTGACCAGGATGGTCTCGATCTCTTGACCTCGTGATCCACCCGCCTCGGCCTCCCAAAGTGCTGGGATTACAGGCTTGAGCCACCGCGCCCGGCCCATTTTACATTTTAATGTCTTTAATTTTCTATAAAAAGATCATAAATAATGCCCACCTAATAAAAATGAATTTCTTGTCTAGAGGCCCAGGTGGGTGAACTACAAGGTCAGGAGTTTGAGACCAGCTTGACCAATATGGTAAAACCACATCTCTATTAAAAATACAAAAATTAGCTAGGTGTGGTGGCAGGTGCCTGTAATCCCACCTACTTGGGAGGCTCAGACAGCAAAATTGCCTGAATCCAGGGGGTGGAGGTTGCAGTGAGCTGAGTCGTGCCACTGCACTCCAGCAAGACTCTGTCTTAAAAAAAAAATAGCCAGATGCAGTGGCTCACACCTGTAATTCCAGCACTTTGGGAGGCTGAGGTGGGTGGATCACGAGGTCAGGAGTTCAAGACCAGTCTGGCCAACATAGTAAAACTCCATCTCTACTAAAAATACAAAAATTAGCTGAGTGTCACAGTGTGCATCTGTAATCCCAGTGACTGAGAGGCTGATGCAAGAGAATCGCTTGAACTCAGAGGCAGAGGATGCAGTGAACCAAGATTGCACCACTGCACTCCAGCTTGGACGAAAGAGTAAAACTCCCTCTCAAAAGAAAAAAACAAAACAAACCGAATCTCTCCTATCTTTGATGCAGCAACAATTGATCCCATGCTTTTTCACGTGTGAATCCAATAGAAATGAAGAAAGAGGAAACAATTTCAGGATTGAATGACATTATTCACTTCTCAAAAAATCTGTAATATTTTTTAAGAAATATACTTCGAATGTAATAGTAACTGCAAAAAAACCTTCTGATTCTCTTAAAGTTATATACAAATAATTTTTCTACCAACTTTAGTTTTAGATTTTCTGTACTCAGCACTCTGATTTAGGATATCTGATGTGTCAGTGCCTTATAAATTTCTACCATAAATACTCTGACATTTGCATAGACTTAATTATATATAATTTTTTTTAACTTTTATTGCATCTGCAGAAATATCTTCTAGTATAAACTGTTTAAGAGGTAAGTTTTGCCGGGCGCGGTGGCTCAAGCCTGTAATCCCAGCACTTTGGGAGGCCGAGGCGGGTGGATCACGAGGTCGATAGATCGAGACCATCCTGGTCAACATGGTGAAACCCCGTCTCTACTAAAGATACAAAAAATTAGCTGGGCATGGTGGCGCGTGCCTGTAATCCCAGCTACTCAGGAGGCTGAGACAGGAGAATTGCCTGAACCCAGGAGGCGGAGGTTGCGGTGAGCCGAGATCGCGCCATTGCACTCCAGCCTGGGTAACAAGAGCGAAACTCCATCTCAAAAAAAAAAAAAAAAAGAGGTAAGTTTTGAAAAAGTGTTTTTTCAAATTTATTACATCTGCACAACTTTTCTTCAATATAAATCCCCTGATGCAGAACAAAGTTTGAGCAGCTACTTCAGTTTGCCTCTAGAAAAAAATGCCTATAAGATCTGCGATACAAGTAAAGCAGTAAAACCTCTCTTTATATTTGTAATGTTCATCTTCAAAATAAACACTTTGCACTATCGAAGCTTGTATTTTCTGAAAAATCTTGATAGAAATTGCACTTATAATGCTTTTATTAAGTAGGAATTCTCTGGTGTTAAGATATGAGCATGTGGTGTGAGATGTGAGCAAGTAAGACATGAGTAAGATATAAAAATGGATTTTTCAGTCTTTCTATAATTTATCTCAAGTATAAATGCTTTCCTGTACAATAAGGTGTGAACATTGGTTACAAGTTTTACCACACTGTTCACACATGTAGGCCTTTTTTCTAGTATAAATTATCTTACCCAAATCAAGTATGACAACTATTTAAAGGCCTTGTCTCATTCTTCAGATTTCTAGGATTTCTCACCACGATAATTTCTTTTATGATTAGAAAAGTTTGAGGTGTCGTCAAAAGCACCGTCAAGTATTTCTGCTTTGTAGAGTTTCTTTCTAGTATAAATTATGTTATGTCTGTTAATAATTGAGGGCTCATTAAAGGCTTTGCCATGTTTTTCACACTTGTAGGATTTCTGTACAGTATGAATTTAATACTTAGTAAGACTTGAGAACTGGTTAAAAGCTTTGCCACATTCTTCACATTTGTAGAGTTTCTCTCCAGTATGAATTATTTGTTTAATAAGGTTCAAGGACTAAAAGCATTGCCACATTCTTCATAGTTGTAAGGTTTCTTTCTAGTATGAATTTTCCTATGTTTAGTAAGCGTTGATGATTGGTTAAAGGCTTTACCACAGTCTTCACATTTGTAAGGTTTCTCTCCAGTATGAATTATCTTATGTTTAATAAGGTTTGAGGACCGGTTAAAAGCTTTGCCACAGTCTTCACATTTGTAGGGTTTCCCTTGAGTGTGAATTTTCTTATGTGTAGTAAGGATTGAGGACCGATTAAAAGCTTTGCCACATTCTTCACATTTGTAAGGTTTCTCTCCAGTATGAATTATCTTATGTTTAGTGAGAGTTGAGGACCGTTTAAAAGCTTTGCCACAGTCTTCACATTTGTAGGGTTTCCCTCGAGTGTGAATTTTCTTATGTGCAGTAAGGATTGAAGACCGATTAAAAGCTTTGCCACATTCTTCACATTTGTAAGGTTTCTCTCCAGTATGAATTATCTTATGTTTAGTAAGGTTTGAGGACCGATTAAAAGCTTTGCCACAGTCTTCACATTTATAGGGTTTCTCTCCAGTGTGAATTCTCTTATGTGTAGTAAGGATTGAAGACCGATTAAAAGCTTTGCCACACTCTTCACATTTGTAGGGTTTCTCTCCGGTATGAATCATCTTATGTGTACTAAGGTTTGAAGACTCATTGAAGGCTTTGCCACATTCTTCACATTTGTAGGGTTTCTCTCCAGTATGAATTCTTTTATGTTTAGTAAGGGTTGAGGACCAGTTAAAGCCTTTGCCACATTCTTCACATTTGTAAGGTTTCTCTCCGGTATGAATTATCCTATGTGCAGTAAGTAGTGGGGACTGGTTAAAGGCTTTGCCACATTCTTCACATTTGTAGGGTTTCTCTCCAGTATGAATCAACTTATGTGTAGTAAGGTTTGAAGGCTCATTAAAGGCTTTGCCACATTCTTTACACTTGTAGGGTTTCTCTCCAGTATGAATTCTTTTATGTGTAATAAGGGTTGAGGAATGCTTAAAAGCTTTGCCACATTCTTTGCATTTGAAGGGTTTCTCTCCAATATGAATTCTCTTGTGACCAGTAATGGCTGAGAACCACTTGGAGGCTTTGCCATGTTCTTCACATTGGTAAAAATTCTCCCCCGTATGAACTCTTTGATGTTGACTTAGGTGTAAAAGCATGCAAAATGATTTGTCACATTTTTCACATTTGAAAGGTTTCTTTCTAGTCTGTATTATATTATGTCTATTTGAATTTAAAAATTTATGAAAGACTTTCACATATTGATCACATTGAAATATTTTGCTCTGGGTAGTTGTCAAACACTGGTTGAGTTCATTATAACCTTCTTTGTGCACCTTACATTCATCCACCACACTTTCACAGCCTTTTCTTAACTGTAAATTCTCATGTCCACATTTTCCATATCTTCTCAGTATCACTTGTTGAAAAGAATCTTTTATGTCTTGCTCTGGCCAAAGGTATTTGGGAAAATAAGAACACATAGCTGAAAGAAATAAAAAGAATAAATTGTTAAACTAACTACACTTAGATAAACATACTTTACAAATCTAACCTATGTTATAAAGGTAGCTGATGCCTGTAATCCCAGCACTTTGGGAGACCAAGGCAGGCAAATCACCTGAGGTCAGGAATTTGAGACCAGCCTGACCAACATGGAGAAACCCTGTCTCTACTAAACATACAAAATTAGGTGAGCGTAGTGGCCCATGCCTGTAGTCCCAGCTACTAGGGAGGCTGAGGCAGGAAAATCACTTCAACCTGAGAAGCGGAGGTTGTGGTGAACCGAGATCACGCCATTGCACTCCAGCCTGCGCAACAAGAGCGAAACTCCGTCTCAAAAAAAAAAAAAAAATTCAGAAAGAAAAAAATGTCAAAATAAAGAGGCTCAACAAACCAACTAGGATACACACAAAGATATTTATAACAAACATATATATAAGAACAATTTCAAAAGTCACAGAAAAGAGAATGGAGCTGCAAGATAAAAATGATGTGTCACTTACAAGCATAGTCTTATGAGATAGGTGGTGAACTGTCAACAAAACTGTGAAGGCCACAAAGAAACTGTGTAATACAGTCAACATCCTGAAGAAAATAGCTATCAAGTGAGAATAATACTGTGCAGGCCACAAAGAAACTGTGTGACATAGTCAACATCTTGATAAAAATAGCTATTGAGTGAGAATAATACCATCAGCATATCTATCCTGCCAAATAATTTTTTTTAAAAAGACCTTAAAACACAACCAAATTCTGAAAAATTATATTGCAATTCATATGCCCTAAATATAAAAGGAGCTGAAAGCAGTTGCTTTTTTTTTTTTTTTTTTTTTTGAGACGGAGTTTTGCTCTTGTTACCCAGGCTGGAGTGCAATGGGGCGATCTCGGCTCACCGAAACCTCCGCCTCCTGGGTTCCGGAAATTCTCCTGCCTCAGCCTCCTGAGTAGCTGGGATTACAGGCACGCGCCACCATGCCCAGCTAATTTTTTGTATTTTTAGTAGAGACGGGGTTTCACCATGTTGACCAGGATGGTCTCAATCTCTCGACCTCGTGATCCACCCGCCTCGGCCACCCAAAGTGCTGGGATTACAGGCTTGAGCCACCACGCCCGGCAGCAGTTGCTTTTACTGAAAATAACATGATTCAACAAAATAACACATAATTGTATAAAATACCTTATTTTCTGGGAAAAAAATGTACATACACAAAAATGGAATTTCTTAGCATTATAATAATGGTGCAAAAACATTTTTAGTTATTCTCTAAAATTTGAAAGGTAAAAGGATATAAATCAGTATAAACATTTATTAATGAATATACAACATGATATATATATAATTAGCAATATCAATGACAAATTTGAGGGCAGATATAATAAGTAAAAAATTTTGAATGCAACTGAAGTTCATTTTCACCAGATTAACATAGATTTTTGTATCTTTTAGAGGCTTTATGTAATCCCCAAGGTACCACCAAGAATATATCTGCATAGATACACAACACGAAATAAAAAAGAAGTAAAAGCATATCAAGTATAAAAAAATACAAAGACAAAAAAAAAAAGAATGAAGAACAAAGACACAAGAAGCAAATAAAACAAAGTAACAATACTAAGTCTTCATAAGTGAAGAAAAATAAAACTATTTTCAGATAAGCAAATGCTGAAGGAATACATCACCACCAGGCCTGCCTTGCTAGAGCTCTAGAAAGAAGCACTAAATATGGGAAGAAAAAAAAACATTACCAGCCATTGCAAAAACACTCTTAAGTACAAAATCGATGACAGTATAAAACAACTACATCAACAACTTTTCAAGATAAGCAGCTAGCACCATTTGGACAGAATCAAAACCACATATAACAATATCAGCCTTAAATGGAATAGACTGAATGCCTCAATTGAAACACACAGAAGGGCAAGCTGGATACATTTATGATCCATATGTATGCTGTATTCAAGGGACCCATTTGACATGAAAAGACAAACACAGGCTCAAAGTAAATGAATGAAGGAAAATTTACAAAGTAAATAAAAGCATAAAAAAGCAGGGGTTGCAATCATAATTTCTGACAAGACAAATTTTAAATCAATGAACATCAAAAAAAAAAAAATCCATTACATAATAGTAAAGAGATCAATTCAAGCAGCACCCAGATTCATAAAACACTTGCTTAGAGACCTACAAAGAGACTTAGACTCTCACATAATAATAGTGAGAGACTTTTAAAATCCCACTGTTAATATTAGACAGATCCGTGAGACAGAAAAGTAACAAGAGTATTCAAGACTTGAACTCAGCTGTGAGTCAAATGGATCTGATAGATATCTACAGAACTTTCTAGCCACAAACACCACAATACACATTCTTCTAAGGTGCACATGGCAGTTAAATATACATATTGATCACATACTTGGAAGTAAAACACTTCTCAGTAAATGCAAAAGAACTGAAATCATAACAGTCTCTCAGACTGCAGAGAAATCAAATTAAAACATAAGAGTAGCCGGGCGCGGTGGCTCAAGCCTGTAATCCCAGCATTTTGGGAGGCCGAGGCGAGTGGATCATGAGGTCGAGAGTTCGAGACCATCCTGGTCGACATGGTGAAACCCTGTCTCTACTAAAAATACAAAAAATCAGCTGGGCATGGTGGCGTGTGCCTGTAATCCCAGCTACTCAGGAGGCTGAGGCAGGAGAATTGCCTGAACCCAGGAGGTGGAGGTTGCGGTGAGCCGAGATCGCGCCATTGCACTCCAGCCTGGGTAACAAGAGCAAAACTCTGTCTCAAAACAACAACAACAACAACAAAAAAACCACACAAGAGTAAGAAACTCACCAGGCATGATGGCTCATACCTGTAATCCAAGCACTTTAAGAGGCTGAGGTGGGTGGATCACTCGAGGTCACGAGGTTGGGATCGGCCTGGCCAACATGGTGAAACCCCATCTCTACCAAAAATACAAAAAGTTAGCTGAGAAGGGTGACACATGCCTGTAGTCGCAGCTGCCCAGGAGACTGAGGCACAAGAATCACTTGAAGCCAGGAGGCAGAAGTAGCAGTGGGCCAAGACCATGCCACTGCACTCCAGCCTGGGTGACAGAACAAGACACTGTTCCAAAAAAAGCAAAACAAAAAACACCTCAAAAGTAAGAAACTCACTCAAAACAACACAACTACATAGAAGTTGAGCAACCGGCTCCTGAACGACTTCTGGCTAAATAATAAAATCAGCGGCGGGCATCTATGCCTACACCCTTCTGATCACACCTGATTTCTCTATCTAAGCAGGGTTGGGCCTTGCTGAGATTTAGATGTGAGACCACCTGGGAATACTGGGTGCTTTATGCTTTGGCTGGGCATGGTGGCTCACTCCATCCAACACTTTGGGAGGCTAAGGTGGGCAGATCACCTGAGGTCAGGAGTTTGAGACCAGCCTGGCCAACATGGTGATACACCGTCTCCACTAAAAATACAAAAAACTTAGCTGGATGTGGTTGTGGGCACCTGTAATTCCAGCTACTCAGGAGTTTAAGGCTAGAGAATCACTTGAAACTGGGAGATGCAGGTTACAGTGAGCCGAGATAATGCCACTGCACTCCAGCCTGGGCAACCAGAGCAAAACTCCATTAAAACAAACAAACAAACAAACAAACAAACAAAAAACAAATAGGCCGGGTGCGGTGGTTCAAGCCTGTAATCCGAGCACTTTGGGAGGCCGAGGCGGGTGGATCACAAGGTCAAGAGATCGAGACCATCCTGGTCAACATGGTGAAACCCAGTCTCTACTAGAAATACTAAAAATTAGCTGGGCATGGTGGCGCGTGCCTGTAATCCCAGCTACTCAGGAGGCTGAGGCAGGAGAATTGCCTGAACCCAGGAGGCGGAGGTTGCGGTGAGCTGAGATCGCGCCATTGCACTCCAGCCTGGGTAACAAGAGCGAAACTCCATCTCGAAAAAAAAAAAAAAAACAAATAAAGAAATTATTTGAAAACAATGAGAATGAAGAGACATTCATTGTATCATAATCTCTAGAACTCAGCAAAAGTAGTGTTAAGGAGGAAATTTATAGCACTAAATACCAACATCAAAAACCTAGAAAGAGCCGGGCGCGGTGGCTCAAGCCTGTAATCCCAGCACTTTGGGAGGCCGAGGCGGGTGGATCACGAGGTCGAGAGATCGAGACCATCCTGGTCAACGTGGTGAAACCCCGTTTCTACTAAAAATACAAAAAATTAGCTGGGCATGGTGGCGCGTGCCTGTAGTCCCAGCTCCTCAGGAGGCTGAGGCAGGAGAATTGCTTGAACCCAGGAGGCGGAGGTTGCGGTGAGCCGAGATCGTGCCATTGCACTCCAGCCTGGGTAACAAGAGCGACACTCTGTCTCCAAAAAAAAAAAAAAAAAAAAAAACCTAGAAAGATCTCAAATGGACACCCTAACATTCCAACTAAAAGAATGAGAAGACCAAGAGCAAACAAACCTTCTAGCAGAAGACAGGAAGTAACCAGATTCAGAGTGGAAGTGAAGGACACAGAGACGAAAAATCTCTTAAAAAAAAAAAAAAAAAGAAAAATTCAATTAACATGAACTTTTTTTTTTTGAGACGGAGTTTCACTCTTGTTACCCAGGCTAGAGTGCAATGGCACGATCTCGGCTCACCGCAACTTCCGCCTCCTGGGTTCAGGCAATTCTCCTGCCTCAGCCTCCTGAGTATCGGGGATTACAGGCACGCACCACCATGCCCAGCTAATTTTTTTTTGTATTTTTAGTAGAGACGGGGTTTCACCGTGTTGACCAGAATGGTCTCGATCTCCTGACCTCGTGATCCACCCGCCTCAGCCTCCCAAAGTGCTGGGATTACGGGCTTGAGCCACCGCGCCCGGCTTTTCCTTTTTTTTTTTTTTTAGACAGAGTCTCGCTCTGTCGCCAGGTGGAAGTTCAGTGGCACAATCTCGACTCACTTCAATCTCCACCTCCCAGGCTCAA